ATGGTACTCAGTATACCTTGGATTTTGCTAGTGGATTTTAGGAGACGTCCTGGTAGTAGAGTGAAAGCATGGTGAGTGATCCAGGAACAAAGCACTGTTCTTGCTCGTTCTACATGAAATGGTCCACAGATTCCCTATTGCAGTTTTCAGTAGGGAAAAAAGACCTTTTATTTCCTTGCCTCATGCCTCCAAAAGTGACAAACCAGAATTAAGCTGCTTTTGCTTTGTGGTTATCATAATATATGGAAGTCAGGAATAGTTTCCTGTCTTCTGATCAAGTTTTATTTTGTCAGTAGGAGTGACTGAGGTTTATTTCAGTTATGGCAAGGTAGACTTTCTTCTACCTTGTACCTGCTGAAATAAATTGTCAGTTGACACTGGACTTACTGACTGTCTTGAGTGTGTATCTCAGGTGCACTATCTGTTTAATTAGACACAAAGAAACAGTGTAACTCTTCTTTCCCTTTGCAGAATTGACCCCCGAGGAGAAAGCCATGAGAATTGCCAAAGCTATGCGTAAACAGTCATCAGAGGTAAAAGAGAAGTGGGAGAACCTAAATGCCAGCGCCAGTATCTGGCAGAAGCAAGTGGACAAAGCATTAGAAAAACTGAAAGACCTGCAGTGTGCCATGGATGACCTCGATGCTGATTTGAAGGAGGCCGAAAATGTGAGGAATGGCTGGAAACCTGTAGGAGACTTGCTCATAGATTCGTTACCAGATCACATTGAGAAAACTACAGTAAGTATGGAACTCCAGGGTAATATTTAGCCTGCGTGTGTGTGTGTGTCAGACCTTCTCATTCTACTACCTCTAGACACATTAGATATGTACACACTGTGTACTTAAATTCTCATGTGTGGTATAAAGTGCTCTTTAAAGACCATATCTGAGGTCTCAAAGTCCAGTGCTGTACCACATTGACTGTGTTGGCTGGGGTTGCATAAGCACATGTGATCAGCAAGCTACAGGTGTGTACAGAATATAACACTGATTAAATGAAAAAGATGTGTTCTGGGAATTAAATATTTTCCTCCTCTAAATGCTTTCTAATCCATAATTAGGCTTTGGGTTTGTTTGGAGCTCTGCCCAGGCACTGGAATATGAATGTGCTGAGTCAGTTGTCATTCCAGCAGTTGACAATAGCTCCCTTGCTTTTTGTAGTGGTGAACTGTCAGATCTGATTGGCCATCATGTATAGCTTTCTTGTTAGGAAAACATTTAGAGCTTTTTCAGTCATGCAGACATGTATAAGTAGTTTTAATTTCTACTTCTTAACTTTCACAAACTTCACACATCTATTACCTGTTTTAGTTCATATGAGTGACCATTTGCTTTTACTTTAGCCTGACTTCTCATCAGGATTATTTCAAAGTGAAGAACACATACTACTGTATAACATTCTTGCTGCCCATGCAGGGCTCAGCATCCCAAGGCATGGCTGCTCGTGATGGGTAGTAGTCCTCCCCTGCTTAGCTTCCTGGGTTGGGTAGGGATCCAGTAATGCAGAGCTCCGCAAAGAAGGGATATCTTTTGATAACTATCATCCAGGAAAGCTGACTGGAAAGAGTACAGTGCTTGAGAAAGTGCCTGAATATCAGGGATTCCAGGAGAGCACGTTGGTATGCACATGTAGGTAGAGAAAATTGCTGTTTGGGGCAAATTTAGCACTTATCACTAAGCTTCTGTTTCACAAACACAACTTTTCAGTTTTTAAGCTTAAGGGTGAATATGGCAAAACACTGGAAGACCCTGGGGTTGTTTACCTGACCAGCCATGTCTTCAGCTTGGGCTAATCCTGAATAGCTTCTTGTTCTCATATTAAGAAGTGATTTGTCATATCTCAATGACTTTTTCTGTAGAGTAAAGCAAAGTCTTTCAGTCACTGGAAAAACTGAAACATCTGCTGAACTAATAAGGGTCTGCTGGCTGTCCAGAAGCCCAGTGCTTCTTTCTTGCCAGCATGTTCCTTGGCCTGATGAGTGATTTTTGAAGGGAGGTAAATAATTGAATTATCCAAAGAAAATGGTTTTTTAACAGTTGTTTTTGGCTCATTTCATGGTGTTCAATCAAGCTGTTTATAGGATTGAACACTTAACTGCTCACAGCAAAAGAGATATTTGATGCATCTTTTTAACAGTAACTAAAACTTGCATCAATTTTGCCGTAATACTGTATTTAGTTCTATTTGATTCAATAAACCTTTTACGTCTTTTTAGTCATTTGTAATTGTTTTACTCTGTGGTTCTAATCAGGTAAAACATTTTACTCCTTTTCCTTAGAAGATAAATTCCTTCATGCTTTGCTAATTCAATAATAGTTTTTAAATTGAATTTTTGTCAGCTGCTTAATACTGGAAAGCTGTAGCTACTGAACACATGTTTTCCTAAGAACACTTGGCAGGCTGTTTGCTGCTAAAGCTCCTAATATGGCATTGTGTATTTCCTTCTGTGATGAAAAACTCTAAAGCCATATGGCACCACTAAAAAATGATTTAAATCATTTAGGGGCACAATTTGCTTATGGGCATTTGAGCAAGTTTCATACTGTTTTTCTCTAAAGATGGGTATGAATGATATAGTAAGAACATTGAAGTGAGGGAACTTTGCCGAGAACTGACTTGTGTCAAGTTGTTCAGCATACACTGCCACTCTGGGTGGGTCAGAACTGTGTTGAGCTTACTGGGGCTTTTGTGCTGCTCATATGTCCCTTGAACATAAGTGTATGTTTCTTACTCTTTAAGGCTTTTAGAGAAGAAATTGCTCCCATCAACTTAAAAGTTAAAACAGTGAATGATTTGTCCAGTCAACTGTCTCCACTTGACCTTTATCCATCTTTAAAGATGTCTCGTCAACTGGATGATCTTAATATGCGTTGGAAACTTTTGCAGGTATTCTTCTGAATATGTACAGTAGGTGTGTGGGGAGAGATGTTTCTTTTTCTCTCCTCTCTCTCTCTCTCTCTCTTCTCTGTCTCTTCTCTCTCCGCTGTCTCTCCGCTCTCTCTCTCCTCTCTCTGCTCTCTCTCTCCTCTCTCTCTGCTCTCTCTCTCCTCTCTCTCCGCTCTCTCTCTCCTTTCTCTCCTCTCTCTCCGCTCTCTCTCTCCTCTCTCTCCGCTCTCTCTCTCCTCTCTCTCCTCTCTCTCCGCTCTCTCTCCGCTCTCTCTCCGCTCTCTCTCCGCTCTCTCTC